TAGTATCATATAAAATTATTAATAATATATTTTATATTCTTTTTTCATATTGGTGTTTGAAAATTGGTGTGTATTTTACACTTTGGGTGCTCAATTTTGATTGAAAATGCTTAATCTGTATTTAGATTTAATAAAATTTACAGTTGCTAGCAGCATTATTCGTAATAGCCTAGTGGAAACAACCTAAATGTGCATCAGCTGGTGAATGGATAAATACAATGTGGTATATCCACACAATGGAATATTAACTCAACAATAAAAAGGAATAAAGTATTTTACATGGTACAGCATGGACAAACCTGGAAAACATTGTGCTCAGCGAGAAACTAGTCATGAAGAACCACATATTGTATGATTCAATTGGTAGGAAATGTCCAGAAAAGGCAAACCATAGAGATAGGAAGTAGATTTTGATTGCCTAGGGCTGGTGTGAGCTGGGGAGAAATGAAGAGTGGCTGTTAATGAGTTAAGGGGTTTCTTTTTGGGATGAAATATGTTCTAAATTCAGATTGTGGTGATGGTTGCGTAACTTGAATATATTAAAAACTATTGATTAGTACACTTTAAATGGCTGAATTCCATGATACGTGAATTTTATCTCAATAAAGATATTAAAAATATTTACAATTGAAAAAGTAGATTCACATATCCATGTCATTTCAAATATACTTAAAAGTTTTCCAATAGCTGAATTCAGTTGTTACATTAAAATTAAGTAAAATAAAATTAAATTAAAAGTTTAGTTTTCAGTCACACTAGTCACATTGCAAGTGCAGCTGCCATGCTATAAAGCACAGGTCTTGATTGGCCTAATCCTTGTAGAAATTAAACTTGGTTAGATTTTTATGATGAATCCCTGGGTGGTGCAAATGGTTAAGTACGTAACTACTGGCCAAAAGGTTGGCGGTTCCAACCCATCCAGAGATGCTTCAGAAGACGGGCCTGGAGATCTTCTTCCAAAAGGTCACAGCCTTGAAAACCCTATGGAGCAGTTCTACTCTGCACACATAGGGTTGTCATGAGTAGGAACTGATGTGACAGCAACTAACAACAACAGATTTCTATGACTGTGTGCAGCAGGATCTTAAAATAAAAATACGAGGAGTAAGATTGCTGACCACCATTTCTCTTTTTGTGCACAGATTACAACATGACCAAACAAGGGCTGTTGAGTTGTAGCACCAACCTGGACGTGGTCACTGACTGTATGGAACATGCTCTGACATCCGTGCATCCCCACACTTGATATTCAGTTGGCTGGGATGCTCGATTTTTCTTCTTCCCTCTATCATACTTACCTACATCACTGGCAGACTATATATTGACTAGATCTTGGCCCAAACCATCCCAGGCAGTTTAAATAAAGTTGGTTTGACGACTCTTGGAATGAAGAAGACAATTAAAAGTCTGAAATTGGTTGTTAGTATCTCAGTAATCCTTATTTAGAATCTGGACTTTTTATACCAGTAAGATTTCTTGCCTAAACTCATTTATGTGTGTGGTGTGATTAAGTACTTTTTTTTTTTTTAATTGTGCTTTAAATGAAAGTTTCCAATTCAAGTTAGTCTCATACAAAAATTTATACATACATTGTTATGTGACCCTAGTTGCTCTCCCTATACTGTGACAGCACGCTCCTCCCTTCCACCCTGGATTTCCCATGTCCATTCAACCAGCTCCTGACCCTCTCTGCCTTCTCATCTCACCTCTGGACAGGAGCTGCCCATTTAGTCTCAAGTATCTACTTGTACTAAGAAGCACACTCTTCACGAGTATCATTTTATGTCCCATATTCTAGTCTAATTTTTGTCTGAAGAGTTGGTCTTGGGAATGGTTTTAGTTCTGGGCTGAGAGTCCAGCAGCCATGTCTTCTGGGGTCCCTCCAGTCTCAGTCAAACCATTAAGTCTGGTCTTTTACTAGAATTTGAGTTCTGCACCCCACTCTTCTCCTGCTCCGTCAGGGACTCTCTGTTCTGTTCCCCGTCAGAGTGGTCATTGGTAGCTGGGCATCATCTAGTTCTTCTGGTCTCAGGCTGATGAAGTCTCTGGTTTATTTGGCCCTTTCTGTCTCTTGGGCTAATACTTTCCTTGTGTCTTTGGTGTTCTTCATTCTCCTTTGCTCCAGGTGAGTTGGGACCAATTGATGCATCTTGGATGGCTGCTCACTAGCTTTTAAGACCCTAGACGCTACTCACCAAAGTAGGATGCAGAACATTTTCTTAATAAACTTTGTTATGCCAGTTGACCTAGATGTTCCCTGAAACAATGGTCCCTAGACCCCTACCCCTGCTACTCTGTCCTCGAAGTGTTTGGTTGTATTCAGGAAACTTAGCTTTGCTATAGTCCAGTTGTGCTGACTTCCCCTGTAGTGTGTGCTGTCCTTGCCTTCACCTAAGATAATTCTTGTCTACTGTCTAGTTAGTGTGATTAATTACTTTTGTATGTGGCCTTTCTAGCCATGGTCTTGTAACTCTCACCCAGGCAATAGGGCAGGACTGTATAATAGGGTAATTGTGGCCCACCAAGGGGATTGGTCAGTTTTGCCTTAAAAGAGGGCCAATTCCAGAGCAGAGAGGAGGAGCTCACCACCATGAAGGAAGGAGAGACCAGCAGGAGAGACCCAGCAGCAAGAGACGGCGAGGTGAGCCTCCCCCCATCCCATGGAGAGAGAAAGCTGAGTGCCTTTGGGCAGAGGCTAAGGGCCAGGGAGAGGCATGCCTGTGAGCACAGCTTGGGAGAGGCTGTCCTGATGGAAGAACTGTATCCTGAGTGTTCCTGAGCCTGAATGGTATCTGTTACTTCCCTAATAAACCCCATAATTTTGAGTATGGTCTGTGAGTTATTGTGGCCATTGCAATGAATTATCAAACCAGCATAGAAGTAGAGTGCTGTGCAAGGGATGGTTCATGTCAGAATTGGTAAAGATGACGGAGAGAGGAGGCTTGTCTGGCCTCCACCTCATGGGATCAGCCTTGCGCTGTTGATCTTGGTTCTCCCTGCCCCTTGTGGGATTGGAGGAGGTCAGACATGGACCCCACGCTGTTTTTACAATGTGGCATTGTCAAAGAACCAACATGTTTATGTTCCAGCTATTCAAAGCTTACTCCTTTAGGTGATGAATCTTTACTATTTTAATCATATTTTGATAAGAATATTTCCAAAATGCGTTATACTTCCTTGCCCTATTAAACAGAGTAGAGTGAAAACAATGTAACCTGTTGTGATGTTATTTCTTTATCTACATGAATAGCTCTTCTGTGCTGTGATAAGTTATTGCTCAGGGACTGCTGAGGAATATGTGAGTCTGTCCATACTCAAAATGGGTCTGTACTATGGTACTTTTAGTAAATATATGATTTTGTTTTCCCCTCCCATTTTGCCAGCTGCCATTTTTTCAGTATATTTCTTCCTTATTTAAAAAGAAATGATTTTTAATTTTTAAGTGAAAATGCATATAATTAATAGAAAATACACATATGTAGTTAAACATTTAATACTCAAAAGCTTAAAATGAAAAACAACAAGCTCATACCCTTCCCTGTTTTTTATGTTATTCCCCAGAGGCAAATGCTGTCAACATTTAGCTATTTCTTCTGGTATTTACTTCCATATTTCTAATAATATGCTGCTTTTTTTTAATTTATTCATTTTGGACATTCTAGATTGACTTTTTAAATATATATAATTTTATTTATTTTGCTGTTGAGAATATACACAGCAAAACATTTGTGGCATCCATTGTTTCTGTTAAGAACCCCAATGACATTTTGATTTTTGTTCCTTTGTGTGTGAGCTGTTTTTGTCCCACCTCTATGAAAGCTTTTAGAATCTTTTTATCTCAGGTGTTTAGAAATATTACAACAATGGATATGGGGGTTGATCTCTTATTCAGTTATCATGCTGGGTATTCAAAACAATTCACGATGTAGGAGAGAGAGGGGAGAATTGCTGGAGTGATGGTGAGTAGGTGAGAGAGGATGGGAATTGGTATACAAGTGGAAGGACTGGCTTCAGCTAGTAGCATGACTTAAACAAGTAGGGGTTTGTTTTTCTTAAATAATAATAAGTTTGGAGGTAGGCAGTCCCTGGCATTGGTTCAGTAGTTTATCTACATCAGGGTCAAAGTCTATGTACATCTTTTGATCTTTTCGTTCATCTTGTCACCTCAAGGTTGTAAGATAGTTTCTGCAACTCCAGATATTACCAAGGGTAAAGAGGTGAATTAATGGGAACTCTTATACACTTCTGGTGGTAGTGTAAAATTGTATAATCACTTTGGTGTACAATTTGGGAAATATCTGGTAAAGTTGAAATGCATTTGACCTATGATGCAACAATTCCACTCCTGGGTACGGATTATAAATATCATACATGTACACAAGAAAACCTGTACAAAACTCTTCTTTGCTTTATTGTTTGAATAGTGGTAAATTGAAAACAACTTCTATGTCTATTGACAGAAGAATGGATAAATTTTAGTATGTTCATAAATGTTCATATATATATATAGAAAGAGAGAGTGAGCGAGCCCTGGTGGCACAGTGGTTAACTGCTCAGCTGCTAACTGAAAGGTTGACAATTCTAACCCACTACCCGCTCTGCAAGAGAAAGATGTGGTAGCCTGCTTCTGTAAAAATTTACAGGCTTGGAAACCCTATGGAGCAGTTCTACTCTGTCCTACGGGGTTGCTATGAGTCTAAATCGACAGCAACGGGTACACACACACACGCACACACACACACGCACACACGCACACACGCACACACACATATATATATGGGTTACTACTGCTGCCGGGTCTTCTGCCCAACCTGGGCAGCCCCTGTGAGGTTCTTGCCTTCTACTGACCAAGAATGACCAGGAGAGGCTCAAGTTTTCTACACGAACAAAGATTTACTGAGCAAAAGTAGCTCGTCAGTGGAGACAAAGAGGGACAAAACAACGCTAGCCTTTGTGTCCCTGAAGAAAGGATCGGCTAGGGCTTATAAAGGTTTTTAGGTGGGAAAAGACATCATCTTTATTCATGAAAGAGGCAGGGTTATGAAGATTAGGTGCGCGTGCGGGAAGCAGCCCAAGATGGAAACTGTAACAAAAGCTCCTGGGACTGGATGGCAGGACTTACTATGGGGTGCCATGCCTGTGCAGTTCCCTCTATGGTGCCTGTTCGATTGCTGTCGCCGGTCTGTCGGTCACCTTGCAGATGTCTGCGTGCGCTCCAGGGATCAGATCTGGCAAGTTCTTCTGAAAAACATCAAGGAAGTACACTGAGAGCTGGGTGGCTTGTTTGTTCTTTATGGCATGTTCCAAGGTATGGATTTTGTGTCATTAGTTAAGGACATGTTTTTAGTTCAGGGTTCTTTGCCTAGGGGCTCAGTCCTTTTTTCCCTTCCCTGTCTCACTATGAGTTGGAAGGAACCCTGGTGGTGCAGTGGTTAAGAGCTCAGCTGCTAACCAGAAGATCAGCAGTTTGAATTCACCAGCTGCTCCTTGGAAACCCTATGGGGCAGTTCTGTAGGGTCCTATAGGGTCGCTATGAGTCAGAATTGACTCAAAGGCAACGGTTTATGAGTTGGAATTGACAGGACGGTAGTGGGTTTGGTTTTTGGTATACGTATATTTAGAATGAATAAGGTTGAGCTACGTGAATGTGCATAAATTTCAAGAACATAATGTTGAGTGAAAAAGTTACAGGAAATATTAGTAGTGGTATGATACCTATTGTCTATAATGTTAAAACTTGCAGAAAGTGCTATATATTGTATATGGATATAGGTGTATAAGTAAAAGTACTAAAACGTATATGAGAATGATAAACACCAAATTCCTGATAGTCCTTACCTCTGGAGATTGAGGAGTGGTATACTAGAGATGTCAGTTGAAGTAATATATTTCTTAAGCGGTGTATTAGATATGTAGGTGCTAATTAATATTCTCTGTGCTATCTTGTATGCCTCAAATGTTCAATAAATAAAATAAAATAAAAAAGTCATGATCTGTGTAATCTCAAACTATGGGAATTTCTTCTTCAAACACTTGTTACAATGCCTTGTGTATAGTAAATAGTCAAAAAGCATTTATTGAATGTAAAAATTAAGCCTTTTTTTCAATAGTAAAGAACGATTTGAATCTGCTTCTCTGTTCACATTTTAGTGGATATTGTTGGAAATATTCCCGTGGCCCAACACATTTGTTTTAGAGAATTTGCTCAAATATATCACTAACAGGAATACCAGTTTATGCTGTCAACTGACCTAAATTAAGTGTAGAATGTTTTCAGGGCACCAGCATTACAAAATAGCTTAGTCCTTGGGGGAAAATAAAACGTCAGTAAATCTTTAATCTCAATGACCTTGCCCCTTG